TGATGGTCATAAAGCGTGCTAGTCCAGAAGCATTTCGGGGCACTATGTCCGATAAGGTGACTACGGCTAAGAGTTTCATTGAGGACCTTGAGAAGATGTTTGCTAAGAATGAAAAGGTTGAGACTAGTATATTTTTGGCAAATTTACCTCAATGAGGTATAAAGGAAAATGAAACAAATGGGAGTACATCTTGGAAATGTCTCGCATTGTTTCAAAACTAAAGACACTCAAGTTGGATTTATCTGAAAACTTGTTGGTGTACTTGGTTCTTATATCCCTTTTGGCACGCTTTGGTCAATTCAAGGTAAGATACAATTGTCAAAAAGACTATGGTCCCTTAATGAGCTCATCTCATACTGTGTCTAAGAAGAGGAAATATTGAAACATGATAAGATATAAAGTACTCATTTAGCTATCATTTCCAAGGACAAAAGGAATAAAAAAAAGGAAAATTAATAGGGAAGTTGCAGGTACAGCATCACAAAATAAACAACATAAAGAACAAACTGATGGTAGTTGTTTCTTCTGTGAAGCTACAAGTTATAAGAAAAACTGTACCAACTATCACGCATGGCGTGCAAAGAAATATATTCTTTTTCATTTGATTTGTTTTTAGGTTAATTTAACTTCGGTACCTAGACACTCATAGTGAATAGATTTTAGTGCAACATCTCACATCAGTGTGTTTATGCAAGGTTGCTTGAGTTATCGAAAATCAAGTGATGATGAAAGATACATCTATCTTGGCTAAAGCAATACGGTGGAAGTAGAGACAATAAGAAAGTTTATATTATTTTTAAAAACTAGATTTTATTTGGATCTTAATGAAACCTTTATTGTACCATCTTTTAGACGAAATTTGATTTCAATTTCTGTTTTGGATAAATCTGATTATTCTTGTTAATTAGGGAATGAAATTTTTAGTTTGTTTCATGATTTAAAATTGGTTTGTTCCAGTTCTTTATCAGTTACGATAATCTTTATTTAATTGATATGATTGCTTTTTTTAATGAATTCTGGCATATAAGTACTCGAGGTGTAAAAAAAATTAACCGGCAAGAATTCTGCTTTGTTGTGGCATAAGAGATTATGTTAGATCTCCAATAAGATAATTGAACTTGTCTCTAACGGAATTCTCGATCTCTTGACTTCACAGATTATGATATGTTTATTAACTGTATAAAGGGAAAATAAGCCAATAAAATGAGATTTCAAGCCAACGGAACTTTGGACGTCTTAGACTTATACATACGGACATTTGTGGACCATTCCCTACGGCTTCTTGGAATGGTCAACAATACTTTATAACGTTCATAGACGACTTTTCAAGATATGGCTATATATATCTCATTCATGAAAAATCACAGTCACTGGACGTGTTCAAAAACTATA